TTTTTTCCTAACTTTTTTCGGTTCAGAACTGGTAAACTAAGAGTTTTTTTATGCAGAAAAAATTAAGAGATCGATTTTACCAGAAAACTCGTCGTCTTTATAGTTTGGTCTTCTTTATCGTCTTTTTTCGAATACCCGGTTTACCTTTGATGAAAATTATCTTGTTTTTTAGGTAAATATGGGAAGAACTGAACTGAATTGAAAAACTCACCAGTTGCAATTTAGTCAATTTTTCAATAAACAACATAATCGACATTCGCCTACGCCCGTTGAAACAAAGACCAACTGGAAGGAATTCGGAAATATTCAATTTTCCCGATTATTGGTCATCTTCAATTGAGCCCTTAATTAATTAAAACAGGCAAGCCACAAATGACTGGGAGGGCGAACAATTGATTGCGTTCGGTCCCTCTTCCAAGGTGAATTAACAGCATTTATCTTCTACGGTTATACGATTTAAGTTAAAGTTATAATTAATGCCTGAATTACGTCGTATCAGATTTCCCATTGGTTCGAAGCGATTTATCTTCGGATTACCGGCATTAGAGCTTTCAATAACCAACAAGGCTGGATTACGCGGCTTTTGTTTCCTGTATTGGAACGTCAAGACAATAATTGTTATGGCATGACCGATGGCCCACATGAAATGCTCCATTAATCAATTACTTTTATATCGGGGTGTATTAAATAAATCGGCGTCGGTAAACAATACGAATTGTTTCGCAATTAAATTGCACTTTACCCGAACGTCTGTTGTTAACTAATTGCAAAATTCGGACTGAATACAATAATTTCCTGCATTTAAATGGCATGAACTGCTTGTATGTATGTATGACAGTACATATAAATGTGTAAAGTGTTCATTTGGGACAATGGAAATAGAATTATGTTTACTTTTTGTTAAATAGAGTTTAGTTTCAATTAGAGTTAATGGAAACTGGCCAAAAATGTATTTAGTTAATGAACGCTTCATTTAATGGTTTTAGGATAGACAGACATTGATAATTTTTGCAATATTGGCTAATCAATTAAGGTTGTTAAACGATTTAATGGAAGGTTTTCCAAGAGGAACTAAGGACCGAGAATATTACAAAAAAAATGCTGGCGTTCAAACTAAAGTGCCTCTACTAATACAGACCAGGTGCACTTAAGCTTGTGTTATTTACATTTCCAGTCCGTAATTCACGTAACAATTGAAGAAGCGCTTCGTCGACTCGTCGACCCTTGTAAATATCTTATGGGCAATTTTCGTTGCAGAAGCTGCTTTCGGATTCAATCTTAACTGTTGCCGAGCACACGTGCAAAATGCAGCCATTCCGGAGGCTTAGCCTAAGCTTCCAGACACCGATTTTGCACCGTTTTCCTCTCGAGGAACAAATCTTGAGCACATATTCCTCGCTTTTATGCGCGATGTCTTTGGGGAGACCGGTAATATTTGACTTGGGGGATATTCTGTTTACAGGGCTAGTTGCAAATCAAGCAAACACCGGTCCGTTTGGTGGCTGCTATTGGTGGAGAGCTTCAAAGATGTTTTATCTGGGAGATTTTAGTGCAATTGTCTGTTAGAATAGTTGATTATGGCCCCCAGATCAACTTCATTGGTTCTCGGCTTCAGCTGCTGCACTTATTCAATGTTTCTTTGTCAGTGTTTATATGTGAATTAGTCCTATACTTGATGGACTATTTTCCAGCTTCCAGCTAATTTCCCCGACAATGTGGATGGGCCACACAGTAAAGCGATTGCAATTTTCTTTTGAAAATTGCACACTTTTTTGTGTGCATACATTTCAGCCAAAGCCGCACCATTCTAAACAAAAAGTCTTCCTTTGACAAATAAAACTAAATCTATCTACTAAAATGTACTGAATGCACATTTTTTATTATTTTTCTCAAGTGGAACACAACACAACAAAACGAAAAATTGCGTGAAAATCTAAGAATATCAGAGAACACACATAAAACCAATCCAAGTATTATTTGTGAATAATTTAGGACAATTTTTTAATGGATTTAACAAAAATTTGATTGAAAAAAGATGATTTAGAAGACTCTTCAACCGATTTCAACTTCATATAGCCATTTTCGAACTGCACTAGTTCAATTCGAAGAGGGACCGAGTGCAAATTGTCCATAAGATATTTACCGAAGTTGATAGAATTTCAGTTCAATAAGTTTTCCGATTTATTTCCAAGCGAAGCAAATAAAGGACATAAAATCCGGACATCAACTGAATGCTGAATGTAGTCTTCAAATATATGTGTTTATAACTAATGTTAGCAACAAAGGATCCAAATTGAAAAAGGTTAAGCATGCAGTTAAACTTTAAAGAAATTACGAAAAAAATATGTTTTTTCCAAAAAAAATCACTAACAGGTAACATGAACGGGGTCACGAATATTTGACAAATTTTTCGGAAGGGGTTTAGCAAAGAGTTTCATAGTAGACAAGGCGCATTTGGTGTTCATATTTCTTCAGGTAAAAAAATGCTTATATAATTCCGCATGCTTATTTCACAATTTTATGTTCAACTGTGCAATAAAATATCGATTTCAGGATGCACTAAACGCCATTCATTAATGATTGATTTCTTTGCTCAGATCCAGTTTTCAAACCAATATCTTGGGACAAAATGCATAGAAATCTTCTTTATTAGTTCTCAATTTTTGTAAACAATACCCGTTGGTACTTTGAGTTAGAGAAAAAGAGGAATCGCCGAACAATTAGGGATGGACTGAACTGTGGGCTGGAGTGCAAACATTTTCATTCTAGCTCTCAACACTCTAATTACTTAATGAGATTTACACCATGTATAGATCGACAAATAAAGAGGCAACAGAATCTGCAAGTTATTTTCCTGCTTTAATTCAAAATCGGCAACGTTGTTTCGCTAAGAGCCATCAAAAGCTCAAGCATGGATTATTCAGGATTTCGCACTGACAAGCAGCCAAATTACACCGGTGTGGGTTTATATTGCACCAAGTTCAATTATTTACAAGGAACTTGTAAATATATGGAACTGCTTTATATCACCCATCTCTCTTATGTTTATTTCTCGTCTTTTCACCCGAGCAATTTCGCTAGTGTTGCTCGAATCGAGCAAAAACTTGAGACGATTTAAGCGAACAAAATCATAAGCAAATATTATCCAGCAAAACACTCACCAGATATGCCGTCGTATGTCCACCATTCCTGCCAATTGTCGCAGTCAACTGCAAAGAAATAGAAAGAAAAATTAAGAATTGTACAAAATGTAACATCTTGATACATAAAACACAAAGCTTTTCTTAATCCCTATAATCAATTCTTCACGTACTGGCACAATGTTTTTCAAAAGTATCTGATTCCGGCTACATTTGCATTATTCCTTTGGCACGTCTTCCAGAATTAATCCAGCAACTATCTTGGGATACTCAGTTACGGCTGCTGAAGCTGTTTATCATCGAGAGGAGCGCAAACAGCGGTCTGAACTACATTCGGAGGTTCATTGGCTCCGTTTTATCAAACAGTCATAGTGGCGCCCAGACCAGCAAAAACTATCGGAAATGGGGGGCTAAAGTTGCAAAGAGGCGCCAGACGGACTGGCTCTGCTGCTCTTCCTGTAGTCGTTACATCTTTATGGATTGAGGCGGAAGATTCGGTTTCAATCGGGGTGAAAAAGCATCCCTCCATCGATTAATACGACGCTTTTATTGTAAGACTTTTAGATTCTGGGCTGCTTTCTTTAACGAAAATATTTTTAGGGATATTTTCCCGATCGTTCGGTGGCTGGATGGAAGTAGGTACGCCTTTATGGTCAGGATCCTATTAGCTTGAGGCATCGCATCGTGCAAGACGTGCTAATCAAGGCGTCGTTACTCGGGTCTTCTAATTTGAATTGCATACTTTGGGTAAATTAGCATGCTGCTTGACTGAGACCGGCATCAGGATCCCCGATCCGTAACTAATCTTTGCGGCAGCCGCAAGGCGTGAACCAAAGTTCACGGATTAAAATTTTTAAAGCGGAATTATCGAGATGGAATTCATTCATGTTTTACTATTAAAACTGTTTTTATAAACTTACTGTTTCTATAAACGTCGCCACGCGAACCTGCTCATTTATTGTCACTTTTATTTTCTCTAGTTATTATTCCAGCGTGTCGCCCTTAAGATGAAAACAGCCCTATATTTTATTTATTTTTTGAAGATTCGGTACAGAAGTAGAACGATTAACTAAGCTCAGTTTAACATTTCTTTTTCTAACTTCAGCCAAGTCCACAAAAGGAAAATTTCTGCACACGATGAGAGAAGGTGATGAGTTGAAACGCTTAGAATCTCCTCTGGATTATTAACTGCAAGAACCAATATTCACAAAAAGTGAATGCTTGCTGCGGAATTTTAGGTGACAGAATAGTTGGTATATTTTTCATCCCCATTAGCTTAAACGCTCAGCGATTGCTTAATTTTTT